TTGTACACGTAAATCACTCGCTAGCTGCAGTTGCCATCAGGCGTTGGAGGTTGCCATGCTGCTCAAGCACAGCAGAGTCTTACATGGCAACAAGGACGTTACATAAACATTGCGATTCTCAATCACTGATTCACTTATATGCACACTGACAACTTCTGGCTAATCTTTATAAATGAACTTTTTGAAACTAATATTTTTTTCCACATTATTGCCTTTATTTACAAAAAAGATTCATTTTCGTTTGTGAAACTTGCACAAGAGCTGAGAGAACTCAAGGTGACTGCTGGCTATAGCAGTCTCCAGCACAGATAAGAAAGCACTGGGGGCGACTTTTTGTTTTCTCTCTGCATCACAGCTTGTACTCCACCGTCGCTCCGGGTGTCGCTGTGGGCGTGCAGCCACACCCGGGGCGTCCGTGGGTGTGGTAGACTGTGGGTGTGGGCGGAATGTGTGCGGGCCAATCCCTCGCGTGAGGTGTTGAGGACTAGGGAAGGATTGTTGGAGGGTGAGGGAGGACCAAGGAAAGGTGAAGGAGTTCTGAGGGAGGTGAGGCAGAACTAGGGAAGGGTGAAAGAGTATTGAAGGAGGTGCAGGAATTCTGAAATAGTACAAAGGGCAAGGCTGGTGGATCAGAGTGCCAGGGGTGAATAAGGGGAACGCTGAGGGCCTTAAAAAAAGATGGTCTTAAAAATAGACCTAATCAAGGGCTAAAAGCTGTGCTAGGTGGATCTAGGTAGTGGGGCAGGCGAAAGGCTATACACTAGCTGCTGGGAATATGATATGGACAAGATGCAGCTAAAACTCTATGGGCCAGAGGGCGTGGCTAACAGCACTCGTAAGGTAAGGATGACTGGAAGGAGTGCATAGGCGTGCAGATAGTCTCAGACCAGTCCTAAACGAAGTAGGTCTGTCCTGGAGGTGGAGGCTGCTCGTTGGGGGGCGGGTGGAAGATCCAGCTGCGGGTGAGGTAGTCGGGGGCATCTCGACGGAATAGGGGGGACGTGGAGGGTCGAGAACCACCCCCTCCCGTCCCTCTTCCATTCAGCGAAGGGTTCTCGCTGGTCAGGGTGTTGGGTTGGGCCAGCGAGGTGAGGGTACTAGTGGGGATTAGTGAGGTCCTAACCTCTCCACACTCACTCACACTCATGTAAGTGTGGTCAGTGATGCCAGGGGAACATTGAGGCGGCGACCCCGCATTTCTCGCCTCATTGTTAGGAGCTGGGGACGGAGGTTTGTTAGGGCTGTTCAGCCAGGGAGGCGCACCAAGATCTGGCCCCCCTCTGGACGCCCATGTTGCCTCGGATACGTTGTTACCCACGGCTGTTTCCCAGTATGGGTTTACAGTGAGAGACTTGCTTGGAGTGTGTCCCAAGGGCTTTGTTTCTGGGAGAGGCCAAGATGGACCATTTTGTTGCTCAGAAGCCACTAACGGCCGACTTGCTGCTTTTCCTCCAAGTGTTGCAGAGATTCCTGGCCGTAACCGTGACCGTAGTGATGGCATTGCACGTCGTAGCTTCTCCCAGAATCTTGGATCTCGTGGGTGAAGAGTAGTGCCTGCTGTGCGAACGATAGCAGCTAGTTCAGGGTCAAGTTCTGATCTTGGCACGTCTTCTAGCATGACTATGAGAATGCTTCGGTGCCGGAGACCCCGTAATGCATCAACGTGGGCGCTCTTGAAATCATAGCGGCACCACTCTGCATCCACCAGCCCCCTGGAAACAACAACCACAACGCGTCTGCTACAGGAAATACTTTCAGCAATGGCTCTGCCTGCCACAGGGGCTGAGGGAGCAGTACAGTCACGATGAGCCACACACAGCCGATACCCAAGTGCCTCCAGTTCAGGAGCCATAAGACCACACACCCATGTAGAGTCTTTGGCACTGTGAGTGACAAATGCATCAAAGAGTTTTTCTCGCTCTTCTACATAAGCAGAAGACTTTTCAAACAGTCGCTTTCCGTAGCGGCTAACTGCCCAAAGTCTGAGGCGTCTGCGGTAAGCTACAACCATTACAGCTGCAGCCAGTAATAAGATCAGCAACACAGCTGTTATAAGCATCAGCATAACATAGTCGTGAATAATGAGATTATTGATTCTTGTGGTGGCCACATAGTGGTCACACCTCACAGGCGTATCAGAGAGCACTGCAGGACCTATGGCTCCAGTGCTGTTGTGGTGGCAACGTATAAGACTTGCATTGGTTGCTTTGATGCGGTTTGCTTCCAGCCAAGCCCTGAGATTTGCTAAGTAACTACACTCACAGCTCCAAGGGTTATGATAAAGACTTACTTCTAATAGAAAAGGGTTAAGTGCGAGGTTCCACACAGGGAAGGTTGTCAGGAGGTTGTTATCCATACGCAGGAGTTCGATTGCCCGGAGAGGAGAGAAAGATATATTACTAAGGTGTCGGAGATAGTTGTTCTGTAAGTACAACTCCCGGAGGCCATGCAAGTCCACGAACTCAAAACCCTGCAGAGATTCCAGTCTGTTGTTATCGAGTCGCAACACCTGCAAGTTCTTGAGTCCGTTGAAAGTACGATTTTGAATGACGGTAATTTCAGAGTGGTTGAGGTGAAGAACTCGCAAGTTTTTCCGTCCAATTAGAGCATGGGATGTTAGGGCACCCATTGAATTGCCATCCATAAAAGCTTCTGTGACATCCATGGGCACTCCAGAAGGCATGTGAGTCCAACCACCACCACAGTCGACCACATTATGCGTCCACGTATGGTCATTATAACAGGTGCAATTTCTAGGGCAGGTCTGCTCACAATCACATGCATCAAAGTCACAGCAATGGCAAAGTGTGAAGCAGTGACGGCGGTAAGTGCAGAGAAACTGGTGTGGCTGAACGGTGATCAAGGGCACAACAACTTCTTGCCACAATCCAGGTAAGCGGCACTCGACAGCTCCTACATCCCCTAAGTGTGGTAAAATGGAACCCCCACTAACAGGAACCCCTAGGCCGGCACCAGCAGCCCTGAGGAGCCAGTCTGTGGCACAATTGCACTCGAGAGGGTTGTGTGAGATCAACAGGAGCGGAGGAGGTGCATGTCTCTGAGAAAGCCTCAGTGATGCTTCCTCTAAAATTGCCACCATATTGTCTCGTAAATCTATTAAAGAGACACTCATTTTGTCTAAAAATGTGTTAGTGGCTACATACGAAATAACATTGTGTTGAAGATGTAGCTCTTCTATGCCATCTGGAACAACTGCTGCATTTATTTCAGATATGTTGTTGTTAGTAGCATACAGAACCCTAAGTCCGAGAGTCTTCTGAACTTCATAATAATTTTCCAGTTTGCTTAACTGGTTGTGACTCAGATCAATCCACTCAAGGTTCTTTGGGATTAGAGCATAATCAAACCAAGTTATGCTATTGTGAGAGACGTTCAGCCATGTCAGATTCTGCAACAGAGTCACCAAGCCATTGATATCTCCCAAGAAATTGTGGTGGAGGTCAAGACCTGTAAGTCTGGGTGTGGCATCCAGTGCTCCGTACTCAATGTCGGCCAGGGCGTTATGGGAAAGGTCAAGGTAGTTGAGTGATGGAACTTCAGCCAATGAGACTCTACTCACGTTATTTATGACGTTGTGGGCAATCCGAAGTTCCTGAAGGTGTATAAGACCGTGCAAAATTCCCTCCTCAAGGTAAGGTATTTGATTATAGCTCAGATCAAGTGTTCTTAAAAGTGGAGCTCGTGCCACTGCCTCTGGCAGGCCAAGCAACACATTGTGAGCGAGACTAAGATGATGCAGAGATGAGCAGTTGTCCAAAGCTTCTTTGTGCACGGTTCCCAGTTTATTGTGATCAAGAGACAAGTGAGTCAAGACAGCCAGACCTAGTAGGGATCGGCCAGACATTGTTGTCAACTGATTGTGTGACAAATCCAAGGTGTGTAAGTTAGCTAGTCCACCGAAGGTAGCATCAGAGAGGTGATTTAACTGATTGTACGCCAGCTGCAATACCTGCAATGAGTACAAATCCTTGAAGGTATCCGGACCTAGTTGAACCAGTAAGTTGTGCGACAGGTCCAGAACCATCAGACGAATGAGTCCAGTGAAGGGTTCCACGTTGTTTGGGCCCAGACTTAACTGGTTGTAACTGAGGTCTAGCGTCTGCAGCTGGCCTAAATTGCTAAATGCAGCGGGAGGTAGGACACTTAAAGAGTTGTTTGCGAGGCAGAGTTCTGTCAGCTGCAGAAGATCTGTTAATGCAGACCGTGGCACAGCTACCAAGCGATTATGGGAGAGATCTAAGTGTTTGAGTGTGTTTAAACCGCCGAATGCCCAGTCAGAGAGGTGAGCCACCCGGTTGTGTCTCAGGGAGAGTGTCTGTATGGCCTTCGCACTAGTGAAGGCTCGCTCAGGCACCTCAGCAACCTGGTTGTGAGAAAGATCTAGGTGTTGTAGAGGCAACGAGCACTTAGGAAGCTGGTCACTCTCTTCTCCCTGCTTCTGCTGGGAGCCCAAGCCAAGATCCGGCAGATGATGTAGGCGGTTGTGCGTTAAATTAAGAGTCGTGAGTGACGGCAGGTGGCACAACACAGCTGGCGGCAGAGACCAGAGGGCATTATGGGCCAAGTCAAGAGCTTCTAGACGGCTGAGATCTGCTAGGGCGTCAGGATGGACTGCCAGGGCTGCTCCTGGCCAGTCCTGATGGTGTGCCCTTAACATGAAGCGTCGCAGGTGGGGGAGGCCAGCCATCACGTATGGGGGAAGCTCCGTTACTTTGCAGCCCAGGATCTGCAAATCCTCCAGCCTAGGGAACACTGTGAACATTCCCGGTGTAATCTCAGACTCAAAAACGACCTGCCTGGCACAATGCAGCGTAAGAACCGTCACGTGGGTGGCGTGAGCCAAAGCCGACAGCGACGTGTTGCCGCCGCCCTCCGTCAGTAGCGCCCGACTCAGCGTTCGCACGTGGCAGGTGGTGCGGACTTGCTCGCTGCCTCCAGCTGTCACCCCTGCGTTTTCCAGCTTCCACTCACACTCTGGTGGACGGCCGCCAACGCCGCCCACCAGCACCAACAGTACCAGCAGCATGCTAGTGTGGGCGGCGGTGATGATGGGTGGCATAGGGACAAGTGTTGACAGGGATGAGCACTGCTGTTTCACGCTTCCATAATAGTTGTCCTGAAGGGCCCCACGGCCCGGCTGCCTCCCAACTCTGCCCGTCGTTGTCGGTTTTACACCATGTACTAAACACACGTGAGGGCGTGCAGGTGTGTAAAACACGTGGCAGGGGAGACGTGGGGCGCGTGTGCCGGTGAGCCGTGATCGATGGTGGGCATGGTAGTGGCAGCGGCGGCAGCAGCAGCAGCGGCAGTAAGACCCGCGAGGCAGCAGCGTCCCAAGCTCCCACACCTGCCTTTTAATGTCCGCTATTCCAAGCCGGTACCACACACACACACACACACCTGCCTTACTGACCACTACTGCAAGCCTCTACCATACACATCTGCCTTCTGGGCCGCCTCTGCAAGCCACTAGCATACACACATACACCTTGCTTTGATGCCTGCTTTTTCCCACCTGCCTCTCTTTCGGCACGTTCAAGCTTTCCTCACTGATAATGTTTTTCACTTCTTTCGTAATGGTGGTGGTGGTACTGTTAACAGTTGTGATGCTGTCAGCAGCAGTGGTGCTGCCAGCAGTAGTGGTGGTGAAGTCAGTAGTGATGAGATTCTCGGTACTGCAGTGTTGCTATTATAGTTGTGTTAGTGGGCAGTGTGGTGCTCTTGTGGATAATGTACTGTTGCCATGGCAAGATAAGGGTGCAGCTGTCGTTGCAAGGTAGTAGTAGTAGGAGCGTTGTTGGCATGGCAAGGTAGCGGTGCTGCTGTGGGTAGTGTGATGCTGCTGTCGTAGCTAGGTGGTGCTCCTGTCGTGGCTAGGTGATTCTCCTGTTGTATGAAGGTGGTGACAGTGCTACTGCCGATACCGTAGCTTTGTATCGGTACCGTGGTGACGGTACAACACTGAAGGTACTGCAGTACTAACAGTACCGCTGGAAGAGTATTGAAAGCTGAGAGTTCGTGTACACACTAACACACTGGCGAGGCTAAATAGTGTTGCTTTACACACAGCCGTCTCTATAGATACACATAAGAGCGTTATAACACAGCCTTAGCTAGGCAGAAGCCTTACATTCACACGGTCGCTTCGGACTCCTGCTAGGTTTAATCTTTATTTTTAAAACTGGGGATATTTTGCTAGTTTTGAAGTTTCAGAATGAAATGATCGCCTTGAGGCTTTGCCTTTTAATATAAAAATTATTTTTATTGGCTTTCAAGAAACAGTGATTAAAATACCATCTTTCGCCGTAAATAGCTTGTTTCCGATTAGGTGATTAACATATTTCAATCAACATTATCTTTCAAAACACAAGACAAACAAAATACGGGAAATCTTTGAAACACTGACAGCATTTAAGCTAACCATTCTCTTTTTTTTTAATCCGAAGTTCACCGTGTTTGATGCTTTTCCATCACCACTTTAATTTCCCCACAGGTACCCAAGCCATCTCCATGTTGTGCTGACGTAATCCAAGTGAGGCTGTATTAAGGTCTGTTAATGTCTGTTTCCGGTAATCCTAATCAGGTTTTGTCGTTCTCTCACGTCTGGTTTAATGTTACACTTTCCTCCCAGTCAACAATTTCACTTCTTTCATCCTTTCTGTCAGTTGCAACAGTTTATCACCACTTGGTTTGCAAAGGACTCTTAAAGAACAATAGTGGCATCGGAGGTTCGTTAGTTTTTTAGAGATAGCTGCTTCGTTAAGTTCAGAAGTCTAAAAGACTTCGCTAAATGCGGGTAGCTAAGGGAGGAGGCGCGAGAGACTAGGAAGCCGAGCGCTCCATCCCTCACCACAGCTCAGCTCTCACTGACTCGCTAGCTCCCAGCTCACAGAATATTTATTTACTACTGCCAGATGTCGCCAGGCGGTGCGTTGATCTTCACGTTTGTGAGCAGTGTGTGAATACTCTTCTCCTTCCACATCTCCAGCCAGGATGCGCTCTCCTCCCAGCAGTGACCAGGAAAACACAGCTACCGCGCATCATATCCCCAACAATCTGTACGAGGGATTAAATGTTTTTCGCTGGGATGTTCGGTAACTACAGACCAATTTCCAGAGTAGCAGCAGCTACCATCCCTCCGGCCGGTACGCAAAAAGCAACATGGGATTAGTAGAAGCCAGTCTGCATAACCTGCTAATTTTCCAACGCCTTAAATCAATGCCAACATGCGGTAACGAGGCTACCTCACTTGGGCTAAAGGTTAGTTGAACATTTCCCCTTCTACATCTGCGGGAGATGTGAATTGTAGACATAATACATACCAAGTACATCATGGCAGTCACTGCTAACGGTAAAAAATTATCTGCCGCCCCTACACTAACGACACGGTTTAGTGAAGCGATTTCCTCCGATAATTAAAGCCATCTGGCTCCTGCAATGCGTCAGGGTGAACCAGTGTTGTGGTATCCATCAAGTTTGGAAAACATTTCATTCGCTGCGTTTTCTTGGGGCCTCCAGTCAGCCCCACACTTGTTCTAACACTTAATATCAAAGAAGCAATTTCAGTTATAGTTATAATATATAATATATATATATATATATATATTATATATATATATATATATATTATATATATATATTATATATATATTATATATATTATATATATATATATAATTTCAAATTAATCACGTTGAGACGTTCCTAAGACTTTACTATTTTTGCTCTTATTAATGGACGGTCTCGGCCACTGAATTGAAATTAATAAAAGATAAAAAATAAATGTAAAAACTTTGATTTAAAAGTTTGTTTTTAACAAAATACGATACGAGAAGTAACTTCCTGTATCTTGATAATTTGATAAATAACTTACAAGGCCGCATTACAAGGATCCCGGTGGAAATAAGCCAGTCTGATTATGTGGGTTTATTGAGTTATCCTGGGTTACTAATCCTAAGGGGTTATTAAACCCAACAAAATCATCTACATAAAGTAATAATACTGATGTGAAGTCATTTGTTTTTTATACAAGTGACTTCACAGGATATTATTATTATTATTCTATTAACGGGGAATCGCTAAACCTTTAGCGGGAAATAGAAAGGAGTCAGGTTCGATCCAAGAAGAGGAATGACAAGCCAGATTCATTGGTTCAAGCTTTCCACTCTCATTCTCAAATAATGTTATTCTGCCTCACAGAAACTTAATTACACTACCATCACCCTGGATGCCACCCATGCCACCCACGATACTCTGGGAACAGTGGTGGTCGAGGATGCCACCCACAACAGTAGGAAAACAAGATCGGCCGAGGATGCCACCGACATTATGAAGACATGGGCGGCCGAGGATGCCACCGACATTATGAAGACATGGGCGGCCGAGGATGCCACCGACATTATGAAGACATGGGCGGCCGAGGATGCCATCCACAATATGAAGGCATGGGCAGCCGAGGATGCCACCCACAACACGGTAAACAAGGGTGGCCGAGGAAGCCACCCACAACACTGTAAACAAGGGTGGCCGAGGATGCCACCCACAACACTGTAAACAAGGGTGGCCGAGGATGCCACCCACAACACTGTAAACAAGGGTGGCCGAGGATGCCACCACAACACTGTAAACAAGGGTGGCCGAGGATGCCACCCACAACACTGTAAACAAGGGTGGCCGAGGATGCCACCCACAACACTGTAAACAAGGGTGGCCGAGGATGCCACCCACAACACTGTAAACAAGGGTGGCCGAGGATGCCACCCACAACACTGTAAACAAGGGTGGCCGAGAAAGCCACCCACAAGACTTTTTGAACAGGGACGGAAAATAAAAGGAGTCTTGTCCACTTGTCTCTTCTCGTCCGGAATTCAACCCGGGTTCTTCGGTTGTGAGCGAAAAGTTTTACTACCGCAGAGCTGCAAACTGTCTTTGTTTATGGAGTTTGTCCTGACAACTTCATAGACGACGACAACGACGGCAACTAAAATTATTAATTATAATTATTCGCAATAGTAAATAATAACAATAGTAATATAGTACTGTGATTATAATAATAATAATAATAATAATAATAATAATAATAATAATAATAATAATAATAATAATAATAATAATAATGAAAATACTACTACTACTACTAAATAATTATAATAAGAATAAGAATTATCATTAAGTAGTAGTAGTGTCATTATTATTATTATTATTATAATTATTATTATTATTATTATTACAATACTGTACTACTGCTATTAGATAATATAATAATAATGCTGTTAATAATACTATTTATTTATTTATTTATTTATTTATTTACAATTTGAGCATACATACGAGGTACAAAAAAATAAAGATAAGAGCAGCATGCCAAAGCCACTTATACTATGCATAGCATTTCGGGCTGGCTTAAAATTAACTAAGCAATGATGAAATCAGTGATAATACATTATTGTAAACAGATAACTATAAAGCACAAATGAGTATTACAAAGACAGGTCATATGGTTGCATGCATTGTTGTACATTCAGTCGTATGGAGTATTCTGTTAGGTAGTGTATTTAAAAAATAATAAAGTTAGATTGGGTTTTAGGTTTAACATTTATGTGATATAATTGTGAGAAACATTTAAGATATACAATTTATAAGGTTCAGTTATTCAGTATTTATTTGGTTTTGGGTGAGTAAGTGATCTTTGAGAGAGACTTGAATTTATAAACAGGTAGTGTTTCTTTTATATTTACAGGTAATGAATTCCAGATTTTAGGGCCTTTTATGTGCATTGAGGTTTTGCATAGTGTGAGATGGACACGAGGAACATCAAGAGTGATCTGTGCCTTGTGTTATGGTCATGTGTTCTGTTGAGGTTGGCAAGGAGATGTTTGAGGGGAGGGTTAATATCAGAGTTAAGTGTTCTATGTATGTAATAGGTGCAGTAATAACTATGGATGTTTTGTATGGTGAGTAGGTTTAGTGTATTGAATATTGGTGGAGTGTGCTGCCTGTAGTGAGAATTTGTTATCATTCTAACTGCAGCCTTTTGTTGGGTAATTAGTGGTCTGAGATGGTTAATTGTTGTTGAGCCCCATGCACAAATTCCATAGGTGAGATAGGGGTAAATAAGAGAGTGATATAGGGCCAGGAGGGCTGACTGTGGAACATAGTACCGTATCTTCGATAGTATGCCTACAGTCTTGGAAATTTTCTTAGAAATTTGTTGTATATGTGTATGAAATTTTAGTCTATTATCAAGGTGGATTCCTAAGAATTTTCCCTCTGGTAGCTTTGTGATAGGTGATCCGTTTATCATTATGTTAAGAGGGACATCTGTAGCTCTGTTACCAAACTGAATGAAGTAGGTTTTGTCAATGCTTAGTGTAAGTTTGTTAGTCCTCATCCAGGTAGATATTTTCTGTAATTCGATATTTACAGTATTGGCTAGCGTGACTGGGCTCGGGTGAGAGAAGACGTATGTAGTGTCATCTGCAAATAGTGGGGGTTTGAGTAATTGCGAAGCATTTGGTAGGTCATTTATGTATAGGAGAAAGAGAAGAGGGCCAAGGACACTTCCCTGTGGGACACCAACTGTAATTGGTTGCGCAGAAGAGTTTGCCCCATTTGCGTACACATATTGGCTTCTGTTGCTGAGGTATGACTTGAGGTAGTTGAGGGAGTGCCCTCTTATACCATACTATGTGTGACAATTTTACGTGGAGCAAGTCATGGTCAACTGTATCAAAAGCTTTACGTAAGTCAATGAAGATCCCCAGTGGGACTTCTTTTTTCTCTATTGCAGTGTATATATGTTCTAGCATGTGTATAATAGCATCATTAGTATTTTTATTAGGCCTGAATCCAAATTGGCAGGGGTTGAGTATGTTTTGGGAGATAAGGTAGGAGTAGATTCGTTTATGAATTAATTTTTCGAAGAGTTTTGAGAGAGGGTGTAAGTTGGATATTGGCCTATAGTTATTCAACTCTGTTTGGTCTCCTCCTTTGTGGATCGGGGTGACCCTTGCTATTTTGAGTACTGTAGGGAAGGTGGAGGATTCTATGGATTTGTTAAGAGTGTTGCAATGATTGGTGATAGCACTTGTGACAGTTTTTTGTATATAAAGGGTGGTAAGGTATTTAAAATCTCCTGCCTTGTTTTTTAGTGCGTTGATAATAAGGGAGACTTCGTATGGGTTAGTCGGAGCTAGGAACAGTGTGTTCGGGTAGTTGCCGGTGAGGTAGTCATTTGGTGGGGTATCTGAGCTTGGGATTTTATTGGCAAGGTTTTGTCCTATAGTGGAGAAGAAATCATTGAATCTGTTTGCTGTTTCTGTTGGTGGGAGTTGGGGTTCATCTGATTTTGCTAATTTTATTTCGCTATTTCGTGATATATTTTTTGTTCCCAGAATTTCTGATAGGGTTTTCCAGGTCTTTTTTATATCACCTCGTAAGTTGGATAATCTGTTCTCATAATACAATTTTTTTGCCCTTCTTATCAGGCTGGTTAGGATTGACGAGTAACGTTTTGTTTGGTCTCTGGTTATGTGACCCATTCTGTACTGTTTTTCATGTTTTGTATTTATGGATTTGAGAATGCTGGGTGTTAGCCAGGGACTGTTCAGTCTCTTAGCTGTCATCTGTTTAGTTTTTTTTAGGGCAGTGCTTGTTATAGAGGTATTGGGTCTTTTTTAGAAAATTATTAATACATTCGTCAATATCTGTATAGATTTCTAGCTCAGTGTGCCAATCAATGTTTGCTACTGCTGTTGTGAAGTTATTAATGGCTGCCTCATTGTGAAGTCTGAAGGTGACTTTAGTAGTGTCTTGGGGTAGTTTACCAAGAGTTGTTATGAGGAAAGTAGGGTAGTGGTCTGTGGTATTATCTGTAATT